CCCTGTCCTAACCCCCCTCTTGAATGAGCAAGTGAGCTAACTTTTTTTTTTTTTTTTTTTGTACTGGGAATCGAACTCAGGGCCTTGTGCTTGCCAGGTGTCTGGAAGCTGAGCTACATCCCCAGCCCCTTTGTTTCTTCTTCCGTGTGGAGGATCGAACTAAGGATCTTGCACTTGTGAAGCAGGCACGGTGACACTGAGCTAAATCCCTGCCCCACCCCCTTTGAGACAGGGTCTCACTGTGCAGTTCAGCCCGGCCTTGAACTCACTATGTAGCCCAGGCTGGTCCTGAACTCACAGAGATCCTCCTGCCTCAGCCCTCTGAGTACTGGGATTACAGATGTGAGCCACCACACCCGGCAAGTGAACTGATTGGGGTAAAATGCTCAGCCCATTTTGAGCACTCACTGAAGAGCCACATGTGGTCATTCTGATCGTATTTGCTATTCATTGCATCTGAAGAGGGCTGAGGCATCCCACCTGCCCAGGAGCCCGGCACAGGCTGCACAAGGGCAAAGGCTCTTCCAGGTACAGTGCTGCGGCAGGCTGTGGAAGGGCAGAGTAAGATGAGTCCTTGGGGCTCTCCTAGTGGCTCCTGTGGGCCAGGCCACGCAGCAGGTCAGGGGCAGCGGCCAGACTGGGCTTAAATGAACCCAAATAGCATCTCACACCCTATCCCACACTGCCCTTGGGGCCCTGGCGAATCCTTTGTCCCCCCACCTGGCCCAGGTGTGGACGAGACCCCTTTACAGGTGGTGGGCAAGCCGGAGGCCTGTTCTTGGGCTCCCGGGGGCTGGAGGGTGCCACCCGCATGCCCCCACTCACTCTCTGGCTTGATGACGGCTAGTGGGAGGTGCTGGGCCTGGCCTGGGGTCCAAATACAGACTTCCAGGCAGGCATTGTGTTGGGTCCCCCAAGCTCCCCTCCCACCTCCTCCTAGGGTTTTGGGCTCCAAGAGAGGAGAGGGGGCTGGACGAGAGAAGGGCAGGGAGACAGTGTGTCTGGGCCTCTCCCCCGTGGGAGCCATCCCTGCCAGAGGCAGCTGTGACCACGGGGAGAGTTTGCTGTGGTGAGGGCTCTGGGGTGCCAGAGCCCTGTGCTGGGCTGGGAGGCCAGGGTCAGGCTCTGTGGGTTCCTGTGTCCACTCTGCTGCCCACTGGTTGCCACCCGGCACCCCCTTTTCCTGTCCTCAGGTGGCAGCCCCAGCCTCGCTTGGGCCAGGATTTTGTCATTGTTGGCTTTATTCTCAGCAGCAGGTGCAGGAGTGGAGCCACCTCCCCTCCCGCTTTTCCTCAATTCCCAGCTCTGTCACCTCGGACTCCCCAAGCAGAGGCAAGGTGGCTGCAAGGCAGGCATAAAAACTAGGCCCCAGACTGCCCTTCAGCCTCCTGTGCCCCCCAAGAACACCTGGCTGTGGTCAGGGTGTGGCCTCCCAAAGTGGGTGACAAGGTCAGAAATTGGCAGCAGCTCCGTGAGGCACACTCTTGTTATTTCTGGCTGACAGGAAGCTGGAACAGAGGGGTGGGCTCACCTGCCCAGTGCCTCGGACTTGACTCTCGGCCTGTGTCTCCTGGTGGCACTTGGTAGTTTTCTGTACTGGGGTTTGAACCCAGGGCAAGGCTGTGGCTGCACACGCTGGCCCATGCAGTACCAATGAACAGGAGTTTGCTGGGGGTCCAGCCTGCTAGGGAATAGGGGCTGCACATATGCACCCCAAAGACTGGACAGAGATGACACATGGCCCACCCTTCCTCTACAGAAACTCTGCTTGTGAAGCTTCCCAGGGTCAGCAGGCTGTGGTGATCTTTAGCAATCCAGCCACCATGACTTTGGCTAGTAGGAGTCTAGTCCTTGCGGGCAGATCAGCAGGTTTGAAGGCAGACTGTCCCTAGCCTTGCA